GTTGTTATTATAAATAGAATTTTTTCTATAATTTCAAGTTTTTGTTACCAATTGGACAAGGATGTAGACAAAGTGTCTAGAGGGTCTCGTGGAATAGATATGATAAAAAATTTACTAGTGCAATATAGGATAAATAAATTAGTTCGTGATTGTCCAAATTTATTTATTTGTATTGCTGAGAATTTTTTTTCTTAGTCGTTATTGTCAACTTCGTTTAAACTTGTATGTCTAAAGCAAGGATAACAGCAAAAGAGCCCGGCTGAATGAGACTTCAGGGTGTGGGAGTTCCCCACATTGTGAACAACAAAGGTAGAAAGAAAAATATTCCATTAATTTCTTTTAAAATACAATTGCCACCATCTCCGATTGTCTCAAAAACAAAAAGTCCGTTTATATTTATAGAAAAAATCCGTAGATTTCTTCCTAACAACCATTTGCAACATTGGTTTAAAGTATTCAATCATTTCCTTGTAACCGATATTTCTCACATTACAATTGTCGAAGATTTAGTTTATTTTTGTTAAAGTATTTAAGAAGCGTAACAGACGTTTGCATATAATCTTAAAAGAGATAGTAATTTATAGCAACAATATAATGTGGTAATATGAATAGGGGAGCAATAAGAGTCATATCCCTTTGTATTGCTCATTTTCATTTTTATCATTATTTTCAAATATATTTATATATTTTTTTGCGATTAATAATGATTAAATATCATCCTCCCATATTCTCATTTTTCTGGGTGAATGCATAAAAATAGTCGATATTTTTTTTTACATGGCACTTTATGATATTTTGTGATTCTTCTCAATTAAAATCATAAGAGAAAAAATTTTTTGCCTCTTTCCCTTCGGCAAATTAGCAATACCGAACTAGAGACTTTTCAGCAAAGTTTTACAATTTACGAAAAAGATTTTTCTTGCTCACCAACTCTTTTGCCTTGTCCCATGTAGAATTCAAAATATCATAGTAAAAAGCATTAGAAATGTTGCATAAGCCTGTGTTAGTAATTTTAGTCTTTCTATCTATTTTATCAAAACCTTATATATCAAAGAAATATATATATATATATATATATATATATATATATATATATATATATATTATATATATATATATATATATATATATATATATATATATATATATATATATATATATATATATATATATATATATATATATATATATATATATATATATATATGTATTTCTTTGATATATAAGGTTTTGATAAAATAGATAAAAAGGCAAAAGAGTTGAAAAATCTTTTTCGTAAATTGTAAAACTTTGCTGAAAAGTCTCTAGTTCGGGATTGCTAATTTGCCAAAGGGAAAGAGGCAAAAATTTATTTTCTCTTATGATTTTAATTGAGAAGAATCACAAAATATCATAAAGTGCCATGTAAAAAAAATATCGACTATTTTTATGCATTCACCCAGAAAAATGAGAATAGGGAGGATGATATTTAATCATTATTAATCGCAAAAAAATATATAAATATATTTGAAAATAATGATAAAAATGAAAATGAGCAATACAAAGGGGATATAATTTTTATTGCTCCCTTATTCATATTACCACATTATATTGTTGCTATAAATTACTATCTCTTTTAAGATTATATGCAAACGTCTGTTACGCTTCTTAAATACTTTAACAAAAATAAACTAAATCTTCGACAATTGTAATGTGAGAAATATCGGTTACAAGGAAATGATTGAATACTTTAAACCAATGTTGCAAATGGTTGTTAGGAAGAAATCTACGGATTTTTTCTATAAATATAAACGGACTTTTTGTTTTTGAGACAATCGGAGATGGTGGCAATTGTATTTTAAAAGAAATATTGGAATATTTTTCTTTCTACCTTTGTTGTTCACAATGTGGGGAACTCCCACACCCTGAAGTCTCATTCAGCCGGGCTCTTTTGCTGTTATCCTTGCTTTAGACATACAAGTTTAAACGAAGTTGACAATAACGACTAAGAAAAAAAATTCTCAGCAATACAAATAAATAAATTTGGACAATCATGAACTAATTTATTTATCCTATATTGCACTAGTAAATTTTTTATCATATCTATTCCACGAGACCCTCACATCATTTTAAGCTTTTATACATGGAAGTTTCCAAGGGGTTTGCCTTGGAGAGTCTCCAACTCATACATATTTTTTCCGATAGGTCTCTCGATTCGGCACTTCAGAAACTTCTTGCAAAATTTCGCATTTATATTATTCTTGAAATCTAAGAGAACGTGATTCCTTCTAAAAATTTTCTGGCCTCGACGAAAAGGTACATTTCGTGATCTACTATTGTACCTTTTGGCACTGGACTCATAAGCTTGATGCTTGTTTTTCTTAATGTTTTCTCTCATTAATTCTAATCTATCCGTTCTATTTAATTGTATAATTTGGTGGTCCGTAAATGATTTGAGATTCTTGGCTAATCTATAATCGTTTCCGTTGGTAAACATATTGTATCCAAACAATGCAAAGAATGGGTTGAAACCTGTAGCGGAATGTAACGAAGTTCGTAGGGCCTCCTCGATTTCAGATAGGTATAAGTCCCAATCTCGGTGATCTTTCTCGACATAAGTCCTTATAGCCGCCAGTACAGACTGATTCACTCTCCCTGCCGCATTTGATTGTGGAGAGTATTACGCAGTCGTTAAATGGTTCATTTTGTAATTCTTAATCATTTCTTGAAATAGATTTAAGACAAATTGTTTTCCATTGCCACTATGTATTGTTTCTGGGAACCTCCAGAAATTCCACGCATGTAAAAATATGAATTTAGTGAAATGGTCCATGAATATAAAAATATAGGCGTTTCCATTTTTGGATCTGGGATACTTTTCGAGGAAATCAACATAATGTTTTTTTTTTTTTTTTTTTTCTTTCGGCATCCACAATTTTCATTCAAATTCCATCGTCGTTTCATCAAAATTGTTCACTCTTATGTATGTCTTTTTTGGTTCTCTAATATTGTTTTTCGTAACTCCAGGTACTGTTCGCTGTCAAACGCCGTGGTTTCGAAATCCAAAATATCATCGTTAGTTATTTCTTTGACTGCTATTTCTGATTCAATTGGTAGACTGGATAAGGTGTCAGCCACAACATTCTCAGATCCTTTTCGGTATTCGATTGAAAAATCAAAAGCTTGAAGCTGCAGAGACCATCTGGGAAGTCTTCCACATAAATCTTTTAGTGACATAAGCCACTTGAGACTTGCGTGATCTGTGATCATGGTGAATTTCATACATTCCACGTATGTTCGAAATCTTTTTACGGCAAGAACCGCAGCCAAGCATTCGTTCTCAGTTACCGAATAATTTCTCTGACTTGAATTTAGTTTTTGCGAGTAGAATTAAATTGGATATTCCCAACCATTATCATCTTTTTGGAAAAGAACGGCTCCAATACCGTACTCAGATGCGTCACACTGTATGAAAAATTCTTGTTGGAAATCGGGATGTCGAAGTACTGGTGCCGAGGTGAGAGCTTTCTTCAGAGTTCGAAATGATTCACAGGCTTGAGGTGTCATCGTAAATTTCTGCCCCTTTTTAAGGTTTCCGTTAGAGCAACGGATATGGAAGCGAAGTCTTGTATGAAACCACGGTACCATCCAGCCGTTCCTAAAAAGCTTCTTACTTCTCTTGGAGTCTTTGGTATCGCTATTTTTAGAATTGCGCTGACCTTTTCCTAAGCCTAAGCTAGGACATAGAAACAATTTTATTTTAGCTAACTGATTTTGATATTCAACATCGACTTCAATTGTACCTAAAATGCGGTGTCGTTGACCAGAAGCAGTGGTGACATTTGAAATATAGGGTTTCACATTTATTCCTATCTCTTCCACTATATCTCTACAATTTCTTCCCAGTAGGCTGACTGTAGCGCCAGAGTCTATTAACCCCCAACTTCCTTTCCTTCAATTTTTATCGTGACGTATGGTTTGAAATCTGTTTTATATTGGTATCGGACTATCAATTCAGACATTGATTTCTTTAGCAATTTAAATTGTTTTATGTGTTTGATTTCTCTTTCGAGACGAGCTTAATGATCTGAAATTCGCAGTGAAAAGGAAAGCCAGATAGACACTATCACACACTCACCACTATGCGACGCGTTTCGCCGTTGGTTAAGCGGCTCATCAGGCATATTTGGTGTGGTTGATGGCTTACAAGGGCCGTTCTCTTTCTCACAGCAAATGTGGTAATATGAATAAGGGAGCAATAAAAATCATATCCCCTTTGTATTGCTCCTCATTTTCATTTTTATCATTATTTTCAAATATATTTATATATTTTTTTGCGATTAATAATGATTAAATATCATCCTCCCATATTCTCATTTTTCTGGGTGAATGCATAAAAATAGTCGATATTTTTTTTTACATGGCACTTTTTGATATTTTGTGATTCTTCTCAATTAAAATCATAAGAGAAAAAAATTTTTTGCCTCTTTCTTTTTGCGATTAATAATGATTAAATATCATCCTCCCATTTTCTCATTTTTCTGGGTGAATGCATAAAAATAGTCGATATTTTTTTTACATGGCACTTTTTGATATTTTGTGATTCTTCTCAATTAAAATCATAAGAGAAAAAAATTTTTTGCCTCTTTCCCTTTGGCAAATTAGCAATCCCGAACTAGAGACTTTTCAGCAAAGTTTTACAATTTACGAAAAAGATTTTTCTTGCTCACCAACTCTTTTGCCTTGTCCCATGTAGAATTCAAAATTTCATAGTATAAAAGCATTAGAAATGTTGCATAAGCCTGTGTTAGTAATTTTAGTCTTTTTATCTTTTTTATCAAAACCTTATATATCAAAGAAATATATATTTTTGCAGCATGAATTATGCTGCAAAAATTCCTCGAAGCAGTTCTTAAAATAATAAGGTTACTTCTTATGCAGTGATTTAAATCCATTTGATTATCCTATTCTTGTTTCTTGACAATCCATAAATCCGCATACAATCTCTTTATTTTGATTACCTGGCAATTCATATTATTTTTTCTCATATCAAAGACACACACAAAAACAGTTTCAGGCAGATGCACTGCCAATTTTAAATATAACTTTCACTTTAATTTATATACACAAGCATGGCCGGTTACCTGAAAAGAAAAAAACATAAGTACATATGGCGAATGAAAATCATAACAAAACTATTGTTTTACAAATGCAAAAAATAACAAGATGTTGCTTTTAGGCTCGTCGCCCAACGGGTAGAATCAACCCCTTACATGCATTTTCTGGGTTATATTACAAGATGCCCAAATGCACTCTCTTCTTTTCATAAATTTTGTGGGCGAAGTTACCATTGTAAGAAAGTTAAACAAATATTTGTTTCCACGTTTTGCGTTTTCCATTTCTTCCAACGATATTCACGAGTCCCACTCATGGATTATTTGTACGATTGTGGGTTAATCCACCAAATTTCTGTTAGAATAAAAAGTAACAAGTTAGAATGAATAAATACAATATTTCTTTAAAAAGTTATTGTCTGTAATTTGTTTGTCCGATTTTAAAATGTTGTGAATTGAATTAAGTGAATGAGCCGCAACGATACACGGCAAAATCACATAGGGATCTATATATCTATAACTCTACGAAAGGCATGAATGGCCGGTGTAGGTAAATTAACGGCGTTGCGCAACCTTTATGCACGTTTCCACGACTGTAACTACTTCATGCATGTGTGTGTTAATAGAATTTTTCAATGGATGCAGCTTGCCCGCACACACACATATTTACGCATGAGACCCCCAAGAATGAATATAAAACAGGTAATTTTTTGATTCGTCAGCGATAAAAGAATAGGAATAAGAATAGAAATTGATTATATTTCTGTAGGAAATTTATTACAAAATGGAATTCCTACTTTACCCGGAAGGAAAAAAACGAGACCCCAGAAAATTTGTTTGGTCACATGGACTGACTGATGGTGGTAAAAAAAGAAAAAAACTTACTTGGCTCCACAATATTATATTCCGTCTACGAATGGATGTAAGGATTCACGCACATCACCGCTTTCTTTATTTTTTTACTAAAGTGGTGAAGTTTTATTGCGTTCATTCCCAGTATGAATTTTTATAATGTGCAATTTAATGCACCGAACATGGTAGAAGAATATAGGTAGATGCATCAAAGCTTGGGAACATTGATATGTCAAAAATTTTAAAATGTTTCATGAAAAAATATGTCGATTTTTAAATATTTTTATACGATGAAAATCAGAGGTTATTATACAATACATTTTTCAACAATTTTTAAAAATTTTAATAATTTTTCATTCAACATTTTCAATTCCAAAATCGGTTTGACAGTTCATTGTCCCAGCAGCTGTGTCGATGCGACTACCTGTATTCTTCTACCATGGCACCGAACGTGCTGAACGCCAGCCAAAAAAGAGAACCCGATACAGAGGGCGGCCGGCAAAATTTGAAAAAGTGATGCCAAGTTTTATATTGTTTTTTTGTACAACACGAGAGACGTGTGGCAAAAATACAAAATTGGGGATAAAAGTGGGTAGGTAGAACACCTGATAAAGATAATTAATAAATGTCAGGGAAATTGTGGGAAAATCTTAGAAAAGAGGGAAAGTTTAAAGAACAGGAAGAGATAAAAGCGCCATTTTTTCAAAGTGGTGTGGAACAGAAAAAACAGTTCAGTCAGTTTTTAAATGTTTTTTTGTGAATAAAAATGAAATAGGGAAATAATCAGTTGGCAGATACTATTCATGTGTTAAACGAGAAATGAGCGGGCATCCCCAACAATCGTTTTTTGAATCGCCAGGTGCGGCACCGAGGTTATACCGCACACACATTTTATTACAGCTGAAAATGCTGCTAAACTCCCTCATATTTGTCGTTGTCTTGGAATAAATAATTTTTTTCTTAATCTGTTTATTCATATATGTTTTTTTTTATGTTAACCTATTCATGTATATATGTTTTATTATATATATATATATATATATATATATATATATATATATATATATATATATATATATATATATATATATATATATATATATATATATATATATATATGTATGTCAGGGGAATGATTCGGGGACACTAAGGAAAATTAAAAAAATGCTAATTTTTAATTAAATTTTGACTAAATTAGCACATATCACCCGATATCTGGGTAATATAATGAATATATTAAATTCTATCACGTTTTATATTCCTTAAGATTTGTTTGAGGTCATCTCTTATATAGCGAATCATTTCGGCCAATGTACCTGGAACACCCTCTTAATATACAGCGATATGGGTTGCCATCACAGTGTTATATTTTATAATTTTTGTCTTGAGTTAAATTGACGCCGACAAAATTGAACGAGCTCGCCTTCGTTTAATTATGTTTTGGAAAAATGCATGACACACATTCACGCTCACACATCCACGCTCACACATTCACGCTCACGTTCTTTGTCACAATCCTACCAACAACTATTGTTTGACGGCAAATACAAAAAAAGCTGATTTGGGAAACAGAATTATGGCTTAACTCAAGTTTAGTAAAAACTCTTAAATTTTTTGGAAATTCTTTCTTTCCTGATCCCGTGAAACTATTTGTACTTGGGGGACGGACCCGGGACCCCAAATTTTTGATTCAAAAGTTCGTGTTCAAGATCCGGTCTGGGTGCACTTACCCGACATGGACAATATAAATATCGTTGGAAAGCTTACGAAAATATCTGTCCAACAAGTGGTCACATGATGGTGCATATGTATAACCCGATTCTAACCAGTTTATTAAAATTATATTTTCAATAAAAAAAAGGTTTACTTCGCGTAGCCGTCGTTGGATTACGAAAACATCAAATTTAGAAAACTTTGGTTCGCGTTAGCTGATGTGGGACATACCCAGAGGAGAAAATCTCAAGCCCCAGAAGAAGGCCTGCTATTTACAAAAAGTGTCAAATTTAGAAATCTTTGCTTCGCGTTAACCGGTGTAGAACATACCCAGAAGGGAAAATCTCAAGCCCCGGCCAAAGGCCGGCTATTTACAAAAAGTTTCAAATTTAGAAAACTTTTTGTAATTCCAACGACAGCTACACGAAATAAACCTTTTTTTATTGAAAACATAATTTTAATGAACTAGTTAGAATAGGGTTATATGGATGTTAAGACCCATATCTCTGGACACGAAAAAGGTATTAGCACAAATCGTAGCATTTTGGAAAGGCAAGAGTGTCAGCTATAATTTGATTTTCAAAATCGATAATTTGACTATAACTTCCGAACCATGACCACTCTCCACTCCTCTCCATCATGTGACCACTTGTTGGATAGGTATTTTCATAAGCTTTCAAACGATAGGTCACAAAAGGGTCCAGGGTCCGTCCACCAAGAAAAAAAATAGTTTCCCGGAATCAGGGTAAAAATACTTACCTCTGGAAAAAATTTCGAAAAAATCGAAGAGTTTTTACTAAACTAGAGTTGTTCCAAAATTATTTGCCAAAAATTTGGCCAGTGTGTCCATAATGTGAACACATTTGATCAATTATTTTCCTCTTTTTTGGTCAAACATTTATTTGACGGTGTTTGGAAAAAAAATTAATATATGGTCCGTTCCTGAACTTCATGAATGTAAATGTTTTTACAACAATAACCGATTTTCCCTTTATGATATCGAAAAAATTGCAAACTAGTAGATTCTTGCAGGTTCTGGAACAGGCCAATAATTGAAATGAATACCCACATAAACACAAAACAATACTACCCTGCTATGATTTTTTGTACAATGATTTATATGCGTACTTATACGCGTACAAATTTAGATATAGCTCCCATATATATCTTATTCCGATTTCAGGTTTATTGTGTAACATTACTCCAAATGAAATGAAAATTTGCACGTATGGTCGAATCAAGCCAAGGAGTGTAATTTGGCGATTACATTACATTTTATTTAAATTTATTATTTCTCTTTAAATTTAAAAATATTTATTTTCTATTTAAATTTATTGTACACTAAATATGTAATGTTAGCCCAAATGGGATGGATCCGATTAGACTTTTAAATCCCCAAATGACACAATATGCAGGCCATAACATTTTTTATAACCTCAACCATATATGGCTGGAGAGGGTTATATCATCTGTTACGGTCAAAAGTGCAGGGCATTTGGAGTCGATCTAGCGATGTCCGTCTGTCTGTCTGGCTCGTGCGCACGATAACTCTCGAAGGGAGTATCCCATTTGGTCCAAACTTGGTACATCGAAATATTTTTGTCAAACTTAGATCGAATTTGGAGATGGACAATATCGGTCCACTGCTTCTGGTACTCCCCCACAAAAGGTAAAAATTTTCATAAAAAATAAATTACCGCATTGAAAGAGAATGGATTATCTGATTTTGTTCAAACTTTGCAAATCGGTATATATACGTTACTCCAAGATCAAGTGTGAGAATGGACAAGACCGGACTATTCAAAATTCGAACCCCACAAAGGGTTCGAATTTTGAATATCTAAAACGCTAATAAAATCCGAAATATACGTCGAATTCTTTTTAAATACATACAAATATTTTACCATTATAAAATCTCCTTCTGGTACCTCCCACACAAAGGGACAAATTTTGAATGACCAAAACGCTCATAAAATGCGAAATTAACATCCGAATTAATCCAAACTTAACACGTCCCAATATTTTTGCCAAAACAACACCTGGCCTCCGTCATAGAGGGTCCAAATTTGGAATATCTAAAACGCTTAAAAAATGCGAATTATACATCGAATTCTCTTCAAATTTCACACATACTAATATTTTTATCATTATAAAAATTTGCGTAGATTGGATATAGCGGACCTCTCCTTCTGGTATCTCGGCCAGAAAGGGTCAACACTTTGTATAACCAAAATGCTGATAGAATGCGAAATAAGCATCCAATTATTTGCAATCATCGCACATTCCAGTATTTGTCCGAAAACAATTTGAAAAATAATATCTATTATAAAATGTGAGTCCTATCGTCTTCAAATTTCGCACATCCCCATATTTCTACCAACGCAAGATCAGGTTTGAAGAATGGATAGATCGAACTTTTCCTTTTGGTACCTCCCCCACAACGGATCAAAATTTTGAATAACCATTACAATCATAAAAGGTCAAATTATTATCCTATTCTTTCCAAACTTAACACAACTTGAAACAACCTATTAAAATAACCATTTAGCAACGAATATGTTTAGTGCTGAAATCGGCCTAAAGGTCGTAATTATGGCTCGAGTTAGAGTCAAAAAAGAAAGCCTATTGTTTTGCATAATAGGAATCGAAATGGACCAAAAACAACATCATTTAAGAAAATTACTGCCCTCTACAGGTCACAATAAAAGTCCAATCGAGGAGTAATTCTTGAATGTGTTTAGAGTTTAGGTCCACTTCGAATGGACATCGGATAATATTTAGTGTATGTGTTATTAATTATTAGCAATAATTTCAAATATAAATTTAGATTTCGCAATAGGTACTACTTTACTTTATCTAAAACGCTAATAAAATCCGAAATATACGTCGAATTCTTTTTAAATACATACAAATATTTTACCATTATAAAATCTCCTTCTGGTACCTCCCACACAAAGGGACAAATTTTGAATGACCAAAACGCTCATAAAATGCGAAATTAACATCCGAATTAATCCAAACTTAACACGTCCCAATATTTTTGCCAAAACAACACCTGGCCTCCGTCATAGAGGGTCCAAATTTGGAATATCTAAAACGCTTAAAAAATGCGAATTATACATCGAATTCTCTTCAAATTTCACACATACTAATATTTTTATCATTATAAAAATTTGCGTAGATTGGATATAGCGGACCTCTCCTTCTGGTATCTCGGCCAGAAAGGGTCAACACTTTGTATAACCAAAATGCTGATAGAATGCGAAATAAGCATCCAATTATTTGCAATCATCGCACATTCCAGTATTTGTCCGAAAACAATTTGAAAAATAATATCTATTATAAAATGTGAGTCCTATCGTCTTCAAATTTCGCACATCCCCATATTTCTACCAACGCAAGATCAGGTTTGAAGAATGGATAGATCGAACTTTTCCTTTTGGTACCTCCCCCACAACGGATCAAAATTTTGAATAACCATTACAATCATAAAAGGTCAAATTATTATCCTATTCTTTCCAAACTTAACACAACTTGAAACAACCTATTAAAATAACCATTTAGCAACGAATATGTTTAGTGCTGAAATCGGCCTAAAGGTCGTAATTATGGCTCGAGTTAGAGTCAAAAAAGAAAGCCTATTGTTTTGCATAATAGGAATCGAAATGGACCAAAAACAACATCATTTAAGAAAATTACTGCCCTCTACAGGTCACAATAAAAGTCCAATCGAGGAGTAATTCTTGAATGTGTTTAGAGTTTAGGTCCACTTCGAATGGACATCGGATAATATTTAGT